GTTAAGAGGTAGGTGCCCCAAAGAACACATATTTTTCTAGCTTGAACTATAAACTAAAATAATGAGGGGGGTCTTTCTTTTGCTTTTCTCTATTGTTAGGGGGGGAAATTCTACCTCCTTAACAAATTTGTTTAGCTTCTTACAAGATTGGCAAAATGCAGATTTTAAAGATTATATTACATATTTGTCCAGTCCTTAATCCACAACAATTCAGAGTAGCCTGTATGGTTCTCTCCTTCTCACATTTTATCCTCAAGGTAACCTGGTGAGATAAATTGACCTGAGAAAGAATGACTGTTCCAATGCCATTCACTGTCACCTGAATGAATCTGATCCAATGTCATTCAGTGAGCTTCAAGGCTGAGGTGATTTGAACCTACATCCCCCCAGTCCTAGTCCAACTACTACACCACAGTGTCTCACGCAGAAATCCTAGATGTTATGCTTAACAGTGTGAATATTCCCCCTTCCAGTTAAACACAGAAATCTAGAAATAGTGGATATTCTGATACCACCAGCAAAACCTTATCTAAAACAGAGAAAAATTATGATATGAATGAACTCTGACCTCATGAAAGCTTAGGTTGGAATAAATTTTGTTAGTTTTTAAGGTGCCATTGAACTTCTGTTTAATTTTAAAGGCAAACATGGTTTCATATTAAAACTACTTTAAAACAATTTTTTTAAACCCTCCAAACTGCATTCAAGCAGAATCTTCTTTTCTTTCACATACAGGCATAGCTGAACTACAACTGGTAAAATCAATAGTATGGACACCTTAACAGGCTATCCAACAGGACTGCTACCACATAATCCCACTGAAAAAAATATTCCCCAAAAGGTGCAGCTTTTAAGAATTTAATTTTCACATATACCAATTCCATTTTGTGTGTCTCTCAAACATCTCTTTGTAACTGTGTCATATTATTTCCCAAAAGCTGGTTTTACTTCTGCATAGGAAACTGTGGTTAGCTACAGAGGATTATTTCTATATAGCTATAGATTTCTATATAGATTTTCTATATAGCTACAGAGGATTATTTCTATATAGCTATAGAAATAAACCCTTTCTTAATGCTACTGTAGCACTAGCCCTGATCCAGCATTATTAGTTTGATCTCTGCACAATTGTCATGGATGGAACAGGGGAGGGAAGCTTTTCCAGGTGTTGAACAATTATATCGTAAACTAGCAAACAGCTTTTGGATTTAGTCAACTTCAACTGATACTGAAACTGTATTTATTTTCTTTTTAAATTCACTTGCCTTTTCATGCATTAAAATTAGTATTATAAATGGTTACAAAAATAATCACGAGGAACGGGCTCATCACAGATATTATCCAGATGGTGTGTGCAACACTCACACCAAACTGCACACATATCCACTGCAGCTGTGCTAGTCACAATTCAGGGAGGTGCTTTTGAATTTTCTAGGGTACAGCTTGACGTGCTACAAAAACATGTAAAATTGGTTTGACCGGAGATTATGGCAGGGCACAAAACATTAACATTTGTATCATGGGGAAAGAACGGCTCTACAATAAAACCCCCAAGTCTCTGAAAGCCATTATCTACAGACAGCTCTTATGTATGCTTTCAGAGGTGACAAATGCCTAGGTCTGTTTTGCCATGTGAACCCAGTGGGAAGTCCTAGCTGGTGCACACATGAAGTCAAAGTCACAAACATGGGATATACACATATGTGTTAGTCTGAAAGTGCCACAAAACTCCATATATGGGATACTTGGTTTTCTATACAGAAATGATAATCATCTGAAGTGATTCATTATATGAGAAAAAAAACTTGAATGTTCAGTGAAAAGATCTGCATTCTTACCTTGATAACCTCTGGTGCCTGTTGAATTAGCGCTGCAGTAGGTTCTTTGGCTGCTGCACCTGGGTGGCTCTGCTGGACAGCTGTAACAGAGGGAGTGGCCAGAGTTTCCTGAAGAATGTGCATCACTTCCTTCTCTTTTGATAAGCTTCCCTTACCCATTCGAAATTCTACTAGTTCCTGGGCAAAGTCCTCTATACTCTCCAGGATGCGCAATAGAAGGGTTTTGTCTTCTTCCTCCATTTTATGACCATTGGTTTCTATGAGTTTTGATAAAGAGGGAGAAGCACTTTTGTCTGTGAGTGAACAAGCTTTACTGTTGTTTTCAAGAGTCCGAGACAGATCAGTATCTTTCAGACATGGAGTATCAGTATCCTTACTGGATGTCTCTCTCAGGGTAGTTTCCATTTTCTGTGAAAAATGCTCCAAGTCCAACAGAAGTTTGTCTATCTCTTCTTGGTTGCTCTTTCTACATTCTTCTTTAAAAATCTGAGCAGTAGCATCAAGGCTATTGACAGAGGTTGCTTGAATGGTTGCTTGGGTGGAAGTTTGGGCCAGTGTTACAAATTGTCCTACAACAGGCATTTTTTTAGTAGAGTCCACAGCAGGGACTTCCCTTTCAGTTCTCTGCTGACTGCTCTCTGAATTCTCCCAACTTCCTCTACTCTTAGCATCTGATACTCCGCCTAACTCCTTTCCCCTGTCTGATTCTTCCACAATGTGCAGAGTTTCTGTGGAAGATATGCAGCTTGACAGGCTTACAGATTGTAATTGAGGTAGTGAGCAAGCATCATTTTTATATCCTAAGTTGTCCTGTTGGTTGTTGTCATGTAAATCAGTTGAGGAAAAATCTACATCAAGGATCTGAGTAGGTTTTGATAAGCCAGTTATATCAGTGGTGTTCTGGCTACCTCGCAAGTCTGTAGTGAGAGACTGCCTTATTGTGGAGGATGAAGAGCGTACAACATCCTCATATCTAGGTGGCTGTTCATTGCCAAATATTGGGGGGAAATGAGCCTGTTGCAAAGCAGATAAACTGTTAATCAGTTCTACCATGTCACTGGGCTCAGAGAGTCCAGGCTGTCTAAATTCAAAAGGCAGTTTTTTAAGGTAAGAAGAAAACCTTGTCATTAAATTCATATAGATAATTTCAGAGTTGACTAAGGGATCATTACTGTTTCCTCCACTGACACTACCCGAAGATTTCTTCCTGATGCACTGTTTTATTATATCAGTACACTTCTTCAAGTCCTCTGAGCATTTGAGCAAGATGTCCAAGCACATCTTAATATCTCCACTGGAAGAACCATCCAGCTTGTGCTTTTCCAAGATCTGCGTGATAAAGCTCTCCTCAGAGAAAGTTTGTAAAGGCACAGGAAAACTAGAATTCACATTTCCCTCTAGTGAGGTCCTGCTGACCTGCCATTTCTCCTCAGGTGAGGAAATCTGCGACAGGCCAAAGGGAGGAGGGGAATTTTCATCATTGCTGAAATGTCCATAGATCAAATCAAAATCGAGTGACCTTCGGTTGAATGGGTCTGACTTAACTTTTCTTCCCTTTCTGTAGGTCACATGATTGGAAGAACTTCTCAACTTTTCAAATGAGAATTCTTTTATTTTTCCACTAGCAAGATTTATAGTTTCTCCAGTGATATTCTTCAGGTTTCCAGTGCTTTGAACTGAAGACCCCTTTTTGAGTCTTGGATTATTAGGGAGAATTTGGTGATAATCTTCATCCCCAGTCAAGGAAAGGGAATTTTCAGGCATTGAAAACCTACGGGTCAGATCTGAACATCTGAGGTCTGGAGTAGGAACTTTCACGAGCTCTGCACAAACACTGTGGTGCGCCACTATGCACATAACTCCTTGCTTGAATATCTGACATGCTCCAGTGCAGTAATGCACAGCTTGTTGGAGTCTCCGATCTATCACAACACTGCTGTAACAATTCGCTGTTGTTACAACACGCCTATAGGTTGCAGCCATCATATGAATTCTAATTGACTGCACTATGAATTAAGATAATAATCCCATTACTCCTTCTCCAAACAGCCTGCTTTGATATTTAATAATTTTTATATATGTAAATTCCAGGGTGATTCCGTTAACTATGAAAGTAATCTGAAACCTTGGAAAAGCAATTCATTGTCAAGATTCCACAGTTAAGAGGGCTAAGACAGTTACCGGTTAAAAAATTAACAGAACAGGTGTAATATGCAAAACTGAATTAAGGCACATGGATTACAATTTGTTGAGTAGTGTTCTAATGAAAGACTGCCCCCCTTCTCTCAGTCCAAATAAATGTCAGAGGTAGAATTGTAGAACTTCAGTTGACTTGAAGGGGAAAAAAGGGAAGGACTAGTTTTCTCTTGAGTTGTTGTTGTTCAGTCGCACAGTCGAGTCCGACTCTTCGCGACCCCATGGACCAGTACTTTGACCTAATTTGCTGTTTTGATTTTCAGATACCATTTAGAAGCAAAAAGGATGTCATACACTTGAATGATCACACTGGACCATTGACGAGGGAGATACCTGCAATTACAAATACTAACAGTAAGCAGAATGTTCAGTTGCAGATAAAAATTCAGCTATTCCTTCATATTTTATGCAGTTATTTTAAAATCCCTACAGTCAAGTCTTTATTCTGACTTTGGTGTAGTTCTATATGTTGTCTAAGATACTTTTAACTCACATAATTAACATTTTGATGCATATAATGGCCCTGCAAAACCAATACATAGTTTACCCAAGTATGTAAAAGTAACTACTTCTGCAATTAAACAACAAGGGTTTATATGTCTATTTAAATAAGGAAACCTATAATAAAAATAGCACGCAATGCAGGTTAGAGAAAGTCATGCTTAAGATCCAATGGATATATAATTTAAAGAGGTTGCCTGTAACATGTCCCATGGATTTCAACATGACTTAGCCTTTTCTGGATTGGGACAAAGATAATAAAATTCAGAAGACATTCCTCCACCATCTTAAGTATATTTTCTGTAGACCTGTAGATCTGTGAAGATTATAGCTTTGTGCTACAGCACCTGGAATTTAAATGTCTAACAATACTGCAGTCTCAATAATCAATGTAATAATATACAAACTTTGTAACAAACAACTTGATATTTGGTGTGAGTATACAAGGTATTATTCAGCCAGCATCTTTTCCTTAGCTATTTTTATTGCACCAAAAACATCAACATTGTTACACTCCTATTCTTTCAGTGCAATCTTAAACCACGGATTCCATTTAGGATTATGCTGTAAATTCAGTATCCATGCATGCCAACTCTAGCCATTTATTCGACCTCATTGGGCCTGATTCCCTGTTAGCAACCATTTCCATTCCAGAAAAGAGTTTTTACTGGGACTGGAATTTTATCTTTTCTGATCTGATGGCATCAGAAATACAATGGCAGTTAAAATAAGTATGTGGTTTTTGGGGGGCATAGAGTATTTTTCAAATGTCTGAGATGTTCTAAACTAGGTGGAGGCAAATAGCAGAGGCCATGAAACTGTTTGGCCTCAAGGAATTATACCAGCAGTAGCCATTTCCTAATGTGGATGAAAATTCATATAATGACTTTCACTGAAAATAAAAACTAATGACACACAATTTTTTTTATATATATCCAGCCAGAATCTCTCTTTGACCCATTTTTCCTTACATTGAGCAGGATTTTTTTTAATCTTATGGGAACATCTTTTGCAAGTATAATATAAACTTTCTTTTTGGCAAGGAGCAGAAGGTTAGCAATGGAAGGGACACAGGTTCGAATCCATCCTCTACCATGGAAGCTTGCCAGGTAATCCTGGGCCAATTATTCTGGGCGATTTCTCACTAGAGCTGCCTCGCAGCACGGCCGCCATTTGCCCCGACACAAACATGTCAATTTCACACCCGAAGCTCTGGGGCTGCATTTTGACTCCGGGCTTCGCCCGATTTCCTCCGCAGTTTCGTGATCCTGGTTTTTGAGGATCACGAAACTGCGGAGGAAATCAGCCGAAGCCCCGAGTCAAATGCAGCCCCGCAGCCTTGGGTGTGAAATTGACATGTTTGTGTTGGGGCAAACGGCGCTGTGCTGCGAGGCAGCTCTAGTGAGAAATTGCCCTCTGTCTCAGTTTTACCTACCTAACAGAGCTGCTGTTGTGAGGATAAAAAAGAGGAAGTAATGTTTAAGCTGCTCTGAGTCCCCAATGGGAAGAAAAGCAAGTTATAAATATTTAAATAAAACATATTACTACAGCATTGTTAATTACTGAAAAAAGAGTTAATTTAAAGCTTTATTACATTACAGTAATAACTGAAGCACAGAAACTTAGCACAGAAAACTTAGCTTTGGGGGGAGGGGCTTTGGCGCAATGAAAAAGCCAAGTTCTCTGCCTGAGTCCCTGGATAGCGGCTGCCAGTCTGATTTTGGAAGGGGCTATGAGTCAGGGGTAGACCATCTGCTTGGTATGTAGAAGATCCCAGCTTCAATCCCTAGCATTTCCAGCTAAAAGGACCAAGTAGTAGGTGATGTGAAAGACCTCTCTACCTGAGACTCTGAAGAGCTGCTGATAAAACCATGGCTGACTGGTAGTAAGTTGCAGCACATGACCAGTAGATGGCAAAATGTCTACATCGCAGTGTAAAGACATTCCTTCCCAAAGCACATGTACCTGGAGGCCTAATATGGGACAACTACAACAGATAGCAAGTCTCAATAGAAACAAGAGTGCAGTCTTCCTATATACTACTACAGTTACAAATATGTAAGTCAGTCAAGTGTGATAAAATAAGGACTGGAATGTGCAGCAGGTAATCTGACTGCTACATTGTAATTAACACAGATCTTTTCCTTTAGTCCTTGCAGAGACATGGAAATAGTGAAAACAAAGGTTGCTGCCATATGTATTAATACATTTTTAACTTCTTAGATATAAAAATAATGCACATTTACTTAACCACCCAAATTGATTGGTTTCCCTAATAAACCAACCCTGATTATTCAGTATGCTGGTGAACATTAGGACTCCCTTAGATCATCTGAAAACGTGTAATGCCTCTAAGCATCTACAGCCTGCAGCGAAAGTCAGACAGGAGTTTTATTCATTCTGCAGCAACAGACTAACTCAGCTACCTCCCTGGATTTGTCACCTGTAACAATTTATATTTTGTCTACATCCAAAGTAATGAAATTTTTAAATGAAGACTATTACAAACAATAATGGCATAGACATACTTTAAACCACCAGTCTCATTATCAGTTCAGATGGGCTCTGTCCAGCTGCGCATGACATAAAGTCGACTGTGTGATCTGAGAGCAATTTGCCAGTATGATCACCAGTGGGTGGTAAGACAGAACAGGCACAATAATTCATGCAGGGCCCAGTCTTATATGTCATATCACTGAGTATTTTCTACTGGTCAGGAGAGCACATCTGAGGTCTAGGATATTCTACAGGTCCAGACACAGTGAACTGTAGCTTTATTAAATGATTTCTCACAACTACATCTGTGTAAATTAGACAGTATACCCCCTTCCACAACCCCCCCTAAAATAATGTTAAACATTTGTTTCAATTTCACCTGATATTCCTGTTTTATTAGATACAGCAATCTAGCCAAATTATGCTTGAAAAGGCTTTTCTTGAAAATAAATGGTTGAGGGCCATCAATTCTGTCCAGAAATAAAAGCCTGGAAAGAAGAAACCATCTTTTATTTCTCTAAGCCTGCAGTTGTTTTCCAGTTGGGCTTGTGGTAGCATGAACTATTGTAAGTGTACTTTATATGGACTTTGTTTTAACTGCTGCCATGCAACTAGTTCCAACCTTAAGGGCAGGGAATTGGTTTCATAGAATGAACAGCAAATGAACAGGGTTCTTTTGTGTAGTCATATAATACATCAGATCTTTCCCATTTGTCATAAAATATTAATCATATTTCAAGGAAGAAAACTGTTCCAGAGCATAATTATACGAACAGTTGTATTCAAAATATGCCGTAAACTCCATACACTTAATTATTGTACTTCACAGCTAACTGAAACATTACTGATTCGGGCTGTTTGTGTAATAGTGATCAGCCACAATTTAGGTTGCTTGCATTTCATGTGTACCAAATAAACATAAGGCACACTTAAAACTAGTCACTAAAGAGGACCTGTGTGCTACTATCAAAATCTTGCCCCCACCTCAAGATTTCAATAGCTACACTGGTGCTATAAGGTTGCCACTCACTGTTTAAATGTAGTATCTACCTGAATACTGGTTGGTTGTCAAAAGGCATGCAGAGGCTCTTGGAATACAATATGAAACAGAACACAAGCAAAGTAATCAATCTCCAATTGGCTACCATGTCCCATATTTAATATTTCCTCCATGTCCAACAGATATTTCTCTCTCTCTCTCTCTCTGATCTACATGGTTTTTTCTGTGTCTTACTTGGCATGTTTCTCTACAAGAGAACCAGGGAGCCCTGGAAATATTTTCCCCACTCCTGAACGTAGGGCTGGCCCACCCACTGAATGTATGAAATACATTCATTCTAGATTCTAGAAGCCATTCTAGAAGATACATTCTAGAAGCCATACATCTCTTTTCCAGCCACAAACAATCTCTGAAATTTTGCCCTAGGCACAATCAAAGGCTATCTACCCCTCAAGTTTGCAAACAGTTATTGAGTTTTGAGAACTATTTATTTCATCCTTTTTGGAAACTTGGCTACCTTTTTAAGACTTTGTGTTAAACAACAAAGATCCAGCATCTGATATGCCACCTTACTGTAGTTTCCTAGCAATATTATGATCCGATTATGTTCTCAAACTTATCATGTTTCTGGGTTTGAGATTGAATGGGTACTTTAACTTTTTATTAATCCTTCCCTCTCTATTAGACTGTTCTTATGGGTTTATGCTGTATTGTTAGTTGTTTTGGCTTATTGTCTGTAATTTATATTTCACAAAAGATTTTGAAAAACTTAAAAAAAAATTAAGTAGTTTGCAAACAGTTTCCCTGAGTCGCCATCTAAGAATGTAATATAACTGTGTTAATGTCATCTTTTTGTCTCCTCCCTTTTTCCTTTTTTAACTTGAGCAAAAGATGAGTGAAAATCAAAATCTTAGTCACTGGTTTTCAATTTTAATTATTAGCTCCTAATAAAAGCATATCATAACTATCCTGGGATTTTTAAAAATAATAGACCAAGTTGACTGGCTACATGAATTGCTCCAAACTTTTTCTAGAGTACATAGGAATGCCTAGGAGGAGGTCTGGACTCAACACTCTCCACAAGCATATTCTCCTCATATCTCAATCCCCACTCAGCAAAATGGCTGGTAGTTAGATGCAGTAGCAATGCAGGATGTGAAAGATGCGCATTTTAATTAGGTATGTAAATGGTGGGTTGGGAAATTCCTGGAGATTTTGGAATGGAGCCTGGGGAAGAGAGGGTTTGGGGAGGTGAAGGACCTCAGTTAATCCATCACCCTTTAAATCTGCCATTTTCTTTAGCAGAAGTGATCAGTACGTTCTGGACATCGGTTGT